ACTGAATCCATATTACAGTCACTTTCCAAACAACCAATAGTTTGATCTCAATTCAGGTGTGCTTTTTCCCCTCTTTCTTGTTTTGGAAAATCTATCACCTCGAAAGGCATATCTGACCATGTTTTCGTAGCGCCGTATGTAATCAAAGTTCCATTATAAGTATACAATGCGTCTCCAAATGATACAGCTGCCTCTTTTTTACAGATGTTCCCAAAAACTCACAGTTTACGATGTTTCTGAAAATTTCCAAAGAAAAAAGTATGTCAAAACTGAATTAATTCGCACTTTTTCACAAAATTCCAGCTCGGAGACACAAACGTTTTTTTGGTCAATTTTTCAGTAAAGGGCACTTTCCTAACGTCTCCAAATGACACAGCCACCAACAAAATTAATTTATTTAACAACCAACATACAACAAGGAGAGGAAGTTGCAAAGTCAATAATCAGTTGGTCCACCGTTCCTTAGAATTACTTGAAAACATGGTGGTCTAGGCACAAATGAAGACTATTAATAAGCTGGTACGTGACGCCTCGGAATTACTGATTTTGGGCGTAAGCCTTCCGCACCATGAAGCCCCCTACATTTTCCATCGGACCAAATCGGGGCTTTCGCTGGCCAGGGCAGAAGTGCAATCCGGCGCCGAGAGAACCAAGCCTTGGTGCTCTTGCTGACGTGAATTGGAGTATTATCTTGCATAAAGACAAGATTTCGGTGCCGATTCTAACGTCAGAAAAGGAGAAGACCACGACAATAATTATCTTCTTTGGTACAAAACATAAACGGATACGCCTACTCGAGGGAATCGCGGCCCAAACCATACCGTCTTCTCCCTTGAAGTTCCGTCTGGAAAACTGAAGTTTTCCCTTCCTCAGGCCGTGCCAATAAAATCGCTTTCCGTCTCGACCATCACAATTGATCTTCTTTTCATCGGGAAAAAAACGACTTGAAGTACAAAAACCATCAGGAGAATTAAGGTCAAATGTCAGCCCATGAAGAACACCTTATTCTTCTCGGTTCGGCTGCATCTTCTGGCGAAAATGACCCGATTTTCTTGATGTCTTTTTGTCATGAAGGGCGCCTTACTCATTTTCCGCTTGACGATGAACTTAGACTTTCAGATCACCTTCCAAACAATGTTTTTGGGACATTGAGGTTCAAAGACGATCGGATTCATATACAGGACTTGATGAAGTTCGACGCTTTCCTGAGGATGTGGCGCTTGTCTCTGTCTGACTGCAGCAAACACGTTCAGCACTTCTTTTGCTCCATAAGCTTCAGGATTCTTGATGAAATTGTCCACAACTGCGTGAATGGACCCAAAATTCCGTTAGTTGAACTAATACACGACACGACGACATGAAGTGGCTGTATCATTTCTAGACGCGCTGCGTATGTAGTTGGCTGTGGACGGAGGTAGGTGAGATGATGTTGGGAGAGACAAATATAACGTCGTTTTTGACTATTTTCAAGTCAAAACAAAGCGATTCAAAACAAAACACCTCTCATACTAACGGTTCAGTGCCGATATTGGCTGGCCGACCAAGCACGTGGTACTAGTTAGAGTCCATAAGTGTTAACATAAAAGCCATCAATAAGGCAAAGGCAAGCGGGGTCTCAGTAGTGTAGGAGATTAGGAGCACAGTACCCGTAAAGCACAAGTACGTATTCCAGTTCCGTTTGAGGTCGAAGTTTTACTCGCAACTTGTCACTATTTCGACATTTCCACTATCCTTCATCAGATCACCTCTTTCATTCTTTTTCGATTACATCTCAGTTATGCTTTTTCAGGATTCTGGTCCCTCCCTATGTCTCAAGTCATGTGAATGCGCAGCGAAGATCCTACTATTGCAAAGCCTTTCTGATGAAGTTTTCTCTTGTACGGAGTTTATTACAGGGCTGATCTGTAGGTAATTATTGCAATTTCAGCTATTCAAATTTCAATTCTTTCGTTCTTAAGCTTATTATATCTCATCACTTGTTTCCTTCCTGACTACTGACTTTTTTCATTAACTTATTATCCTCGATTTTCTNCATCTGTGTCAATAGTATCGAGATTTGGCTTCGACATTATTTAGCTCCAAAAAGGCAAATGTATAACGCTGATTTGTAGGATTTAAACAGAGACGTCCTGGGAACGAAATTCCTGAAGGCATTTCAAATTTCACTAAAGCAGCTTTTTTCAGACTTTTTCACTCGAGCTCTTTCCGACATCCTGAAGTGAGGCTGTGCATTGAAAAATTTTTTGCTATATTCTCTGCAGTTCAAAGGTAGTTCAATGGCAGAAAAATAGAACGAAAAGACCAGTTTCGTTCTGTTTGCCTATTGAATGGAACACCCGACGTGCATTACTAGTGATTGTTCTAGGAAGAACCAGCTGGCAATAATGGCGGCTTTCCACCTGCTAATGTCTCAAGTTCGCAATGCTTCTGATGATGATTTTGTTCTTCACATTGACATAGTAGCAGCTCTCAACTTGATAGTTGGTGCTACTCAGTTCAGGCTTCTGAGGCACGCTCCTGACAGAGAGGTGAACTTATTTCTGATTGGAAAGTGCGTGCGCTATGCTCCTAATAGCTGTATCTCTTTAGCAAGGTTCTGTACAACCAACATTCCTGCGGGAACTGCTTTGTTATCAGAAAGATCATGCTGATGATGTTTGTGCGTCACTATATTGGCAGACAGCAGCTGCCCTAGATCTGGACGAATTCGAGGCTGCAGAGCTTCTTGAAGCGCAACGAACAGTCCAAATCATTCTTGACGTATGTCGAATTTTACGCTACTTGACGAGTCCCTCAGTGTTTGGTCTTACGGTCAGATCTTGAGCGTACGAACCCCACGCGCACGTCAAGTAGTATGCTCAGAAACTACTTTATTAAGTTGATTTCGTTATGCAGTAAATGATTCAATAAACGGGTAACAAAAGTATATTACCCGATGCTTTTTTTTAATAGTAGTGAACGAAAAAACCATAGAGAAGAAAAAAGAGGAAAGGAGAAGCAATCGCAAAATTCCCTTTGCGCAATAGTGGAGTGCTTTAAGAAGTTACTGGTGCCTTGATAATTTCCAGGTTCAAGAAGTTATCTGAAATTTCAGTATAACTTGGTAATACGGAAGAAGTTGGGAAAGAGGTGCACTGAGAGTGGCGAGTCTTTCTATATAAATCTCTCTGAGACAACAGTTGAAAGGGTCACGATATCAGGCCTGTCTGTAGGGATAAAACGCTGGCTTAGGTCTGGTAACGGGAAAACATTGTATACGCTTCACATATACCACAATTACGCTCGACACTAAATGGATGGTGAATGCCTGAATCAGCCTGAAATGAGGATATCCATGTATTCAACTTCACTCATCAGCCTGGTTCGAAGCATGTACAGTGATCAACGCCAGAATGTTTTTCTTTTCTCTTTTACGACAATTGGACCACAGAAGAGAGAAGGTCTTTTTCGAAAATTAATGATAATATTATATCAAACAATGTACGTATAACATTGAAGTGAGAGTTGCATAAGTCTGCTTTATGGACTGTGCGAGATTATAAAGACGAAAGGGACGTCTAGACGAGATTCCAGTCGTCTGCATTTGCGTAAAGAATGGGCTGCAGTAAGCAGAAAATGGGGTATGTGTACGAACGTGCGTCCGAGGATGCGCGCGGCAAATTACGCGGCGAAGTTCGTAATGATTTGAACGACTTTGACGCCTATCATTGGGGCCCAAATTTGAAATAGAGTGGATTAGGAGGATCATCTGACCCTACTAATCTACACTACTTCGAGTTTGTGCCCCGAAAATCGGCGCCGTAGTCGTACAAATCGTCACGAACTTCGCCGCGCAATTTGCCGCGCGCACCCTCGGACGCACGTTCGTACCGTCCCCCCAGAAAATGCCAAAAGTTGCATCCTAACAACGTCAGATGTCGGGACGGAATGGCGTTTTCATTCGTAGGGCATAAAGAGTAGATAATCAGGATAGCATATAGTTTTCACAGTCTACAGCTCAGAGCAATCAGCTGTTTGAATTTTAGATCTAGTATATGTTCCTATGAATGAATGTTTTGGAAGGCCGCTGAAACACGGTTACTTTTGGGTAAGGGCCACGTTGGAGCAATGTTTTAGCCTTAGTTCCGCCCTATCGTGGCCATTCTTCTATCCGACCCCGGCCCATTTGCTCCTGTATCCCTTGGAAGCCAGAGTTCCGTCTAACTGGGAATTTAGAAATCATTTTGATCATGAACCGTGCTTTAAAGGAGAAGCTGTCCACTAATGGTAAAGCGGTATGGCGGCGACTTCGGTCTTAAGAGCTTTCAAGAACGTACATTGCATTAGAGTTCTGAGACTGGTTCTATGATGGTAATATACACTGTCTTCTGAATTCCTCCTGAATCAAAAAGAAATGTTCGTAGCAACATGCTCTGATTAAAGGGGACAAATGAAATAGTTCTTGGCTTATATATTTCATTATGTTGTCAGAATGTCGTTTCGCGGGACTGTATTTCATTGAAATGATCTCTCATATGTTTGTAGGAAGCGAGCTCCACTTCTTCTTTGAGAAGCAAAGTCATTGGCGATATCCACAAATTTATGCGAAGCATTGAAAACGCTTTCCACGTTATCGCAGGTCGAGATGCGGAGGTAGATAGATGGCAATTTTTATTATTATAACCATTAATTTTTTGAAGACCTCTGTCTTCCAGGATGCTGAACGTGGTGACTGCATCACTGAACTTCGTTCAAGAGGTCCTCTTGCAAAACGTGGACGGAGGCGAACGCCTAAGTCAAGTCACACCACTCCAATTAAATCCGCCCGCACAACATCTTCAAGGAAGAAGGTGTGCTTCACTAAATACATGAGTTTACTTTTACACTTTTGCAATCACTTCTTCAGGCAACCACAAGCATAAAACGATCAACACAAAAAGTTCTTGAGGGAGATGGAACACCGTCACCACCTGGTTCGTGAACTTGAGCTTCTGACTCCTTTTTTTCATGACCTATTGCATTTACCCTCCGTAATCCATTTCAGCTGTTGTTGACTCTCTTGTGACTCCTATTGCTCGGAGTCGTCCTCTGTTATCGCGATCTGCGAAACTCGCCGCCGCAAGCAAAACGCGACGTTGGTTATTCGAAAAAGAAGACGAATGAAATCTCATCGCTTAACTCCTGTCTTTTCTGTGAAACCGGTTCATTGTCTTGCTACACTCATTACTACCTCCCCTAACTTCCACAACTGTCACGTTAGGTGATTATCAATAAACTTGCTTTCCTACAAAACAAACATAATGAAAATGAAGACTTTTCAAAAAGATTTTATTTTCTCCCCAGCCACACATCGCTTTACTGATCAATCTGGCCAACCAAACTGTCTTTCAATGAACAATGACTAATTTATTAACCTTAACAAAGTTACTTCGAACTCAACTCAAATCTTCATGTCACTTACGGATTTCTCATCGAATTTTCCTCAACAATTTCGAACAAGACAGTTTATATCAGGTCGAGGCAATAAAGATTGCATAAATTTTCTCTATTTAGTGGTCTACTTTTTCCCTCCTGCTGGTGCACAATCAAGCTTTCCTCTTATAATGTTCGCCTTCACAGATATGAGGTCACGTCTTCGACCACCTCGTACCATTACCTGAAAAATGACCTTATTACTACGCCTAGTAATCCAGTCATATGTACTCTACTAAATGTGTCTGTTGAGGCGGTGCTTGTGTGTGAGTATCGAAGTGTGTGTTCCACAAGAACTTGTTTTCTGTGCCCCTGAACCTAGATCGTTTGAATCGTTAGGAGTACAATCGGTAGGATAGAAACACTGATGGCATGAAATAGGAAGTAATAGCAATTGAATAGTGGTTGAATAGGACCTGTGAGCCACAGAATCTGTATGCTTTTCATGTTGACAGGAGCAGATGATAATCGTAAGGTTTGAAAAGGAGATGGCAAAAGCCACTGTGTTGCTTGCACCTTACGGGTTGATGGTCGAAACATGACAGTTTGAAGGATGATGTGGGATTTGTCGAGATCGTGGAAGGTAGCTGACAATGTTTGATAACAACTGCTAAGAGCTGATATTACTGTTGGATTGAAAATACGACTAGCTCATTTCCTCTTTTCGTACTGGAAGTGGAACCTTGCCACTTCAATGTTAGATGTAGGATATGACTAGATCTCAAACAACAGATAACAAAATAAAAAAATGATATTAGTCGATAAGGGCTTGTAAGGGGCATTGGAAGGCACAAGCTCTACAGTTTATTACACCATGGTATTTATCATGTAGCCTTCACATTTTGTTATGGAATGGTAGAGTAAATCAACAAAAAATGAGTAATAAGAGCACTATGGGACCGGTTTAAGTTAATACTACGTAAGGTAAATGCAGCTTTTTCCTTCTTCCTATCAGAGACCACTACGGCTCGAGGTTCTCGACTGAGTAAAGAACCAAGTACTCATTCGATCCGATAGCCGTTGCCACAGCCCTTTTCTGGCCATGAAAATTTGGGAATCTGGACTAGGAATGAGGATTGAGGAAAGTCATGGTCATGGACTTCTCATGGTGGTGTTATCATCAATCTATACAACTGCTGTCGAATATGAAAGGATGCTGGGCGATTCAATTTGTACATCAATAATTTTTGCTTTTTATATTTTTTCTGATTGTGAGCTGTAATTGTGAACTGAACCTGGAATGACGGTCAGGGATGACTGAAAGCAGAATCAAGTTGAGCTGGTGGCTGTTAGATCCTCTTATTCTACTGACGACGAAAACGTTTGCTATTTGTTAAACCCGATGTTTCACGGAAAACGCATATATTTGGAAAACCTGCAGATCCTAAAGACCCCTAACAAGCATTTTCGAGAGTTAGTTGCCACTTTCCTATTCTACACTAAAGCTTCGGAGAAAAAGAAAGTCAAATGAGCTTTTTTTGAGACCATCTCTCACCTACGAACGCATAGTGTGACTGCGTGATGAACTCGACCAAAAGTGTATCATGAACAGTAAAGAAACTTCTTCAACATGGAAACCTCAGCTTCAAAGTTGTAGAACCTATTAATGTGGTGCTGATAAGTGATAAAACAATTTCTTTTGAGTTTCAACATGCCTGAGAATGTTCTTGAAGGTTGTGGCCGACACCAGGAATATAAGCACACACTTCAGCACCAGTTGTGAGCCGAACGATGGCACATTTCCGATTTCCAGAGTTCGGCTTCTTCGGATGCCTTATTACGGCTGAAATAAATGAGCAATAACAAACTGAGGAACGTTAGTATTAGAGTAAAGAATTTTCGATAAAGAAGTCAGTAAAATGCCTAGGGAACAATATATTTTAAGGCATCGGACGAAAGGCGCACTGAAAAAATGGGGAATCTGTTTGAGCTTATGCTAATTGCCCAACAGCAAAACACGTGTCTATAAGGTTTTGGAAAACCTCATTCCAAGCAAGCATGATCAAGCATATTTCAAGTCATTGATTCAGTCTCTTAAGGTAACAGCCTACTTATGATTTTAACGCATGTTTTGAATGATGTTGATTAAGGAAGAGGTGCTATGGTATGAATATGGATATAATATATGAATGTGTGTAACGTATAACATGCACAGCATGAGGGATAAAAAATATTCAACGGCAAAAAGAAAAAAATGAGGGGAAAATGAAATAGCAATTCCTTGGAGGTTATGATGGAGGCGTTATCACAAAGAACAGAGCAATTCCAGGCCCTGCTATTTTGCATAAGCTCACCACTGCTAAATCATATTACAAGGCTACGATATGGTTTGTTAATTGGCAACTCGCTTTTACACTAGCCGTTTTGCTCAGGAAAAAAGTTAGAAATATAAAAAAAAACTTAAAGATTCCCATCTCTAGTGAACGCCCACCCATAAGTCACGTCTGTCATGTAACATCCGATCAATCTATTTAATCTTATGCCGGTGCTCGCCGAAATGCAATATCCTCACTGACAAAATGTACACTTACTTTTGAGAACGATACCCTTGCAGTAGTTATGACCGCTGATCGGGCTCTTATCCTTACTGCGAGATCTCCGTGGAGGTGGTCCATTCCGGTAATGCATGAACTAAATTATTTGTACGAGACATTATTGTAAACAACTATCATCAAAATTCAGTCAAATGAACTTGTACTTTCTCTTGAAATTTGACTTGCTTGGTGGCGAACAGAGATTTACATGCTTTCATATGACCACTGCTTAAATAACCTATTTTGTTCTTATTCTGACAATGGTTAAGGCAGGAACACCAAAACACAACTGGAGATGAGGTCTAGTATCCCTTGAAATAATTATTTTTATAAAGGAAAGGATAGCGTCTGAGCCAAGATCGGTTTCAAGAGAGTACGAGATAAAAATAAAGAGTTTCTATTGCAAAAAATCGACCCAGGAGCCACCATTTCATCATAAACTAGCCCAACCTTAGAATGTTTATTTACTTGATCTTTATATTTCCATGTTTTCCCATTTTCTTCTTCATAATGCTCTTCTGGGTCAACGCCTTCACCCCACAACCGAAAAATTAGATCATTGCCCACTGTGCCTTTAAATTGATTGAATAGGGAATGAGAGGATGTTGCAAGAGTCATAGCAGGAAAAAAGTTTCAAAGTGGAGCATTGATAATGAGAAAATAGCGAAAAAAAGTCAAGAAGAAA